TGTCTGCGACAATATTAATAGTGCTGCTGAATGCAATGCAATTCCGAAGAGAGTAAATGCATCGATTCCACATCCGTGGATTTCAATTTGAAAGTAATTCCTCGACTTTTCAAAATCTACGAGTACAATTGCACTTTATTTGGGAATATAATGTCTTTTCAGCCACGGTAAGCTCTTAGACTTCTATTTTTTTCTTAACTTGATTAATTTATTTGAATATGCGAATGTTTGGTACATTAGGGCATTTTCTTTACATTTTAGCGGCTTTGGATCGCATAAGGGTATTATAACGTCGTAGAGAAAGTACGAGTATGATGTGCTATTCACTCATACTGGCTTTTATTCAATCGTCGAAAGTACGACACTCACTCTTCCATCGTTCTGCTCGTAAATACTAGTCACCATTAAACGGCAATGAAGAATGTACGCTCTATCCAAGGATGAGAGAATTTTAATTCACTACTAATACAATTTACGTTCTACGCAATTTATCAATTTGCTTGCGGCGTGAATGATAAAGACATTAAGAGTGATTCAAGAATGCATCCTACATCTTTAAAGTGAAATGATGAATAATATTCTGCTGAAAATAATTGTTTAGTAACTCAGTAAAACGGTATTCATACTGATCTTATAAATCGTAATTTAAAACGTCTCTTAAAGGGGAAGCTACCGAAAACCTCCGGGTTCGCAACGCCTCTCGCATTTCGGATTCTCCCTTTTTGATCGACGTCTGCTCCCGGCAGGTTTTGCAGGTTCATTTTATTATGTATTTATATTTATTATAATATTGTATAAGTGCAGTTTACGTCCTTGATTACAATCGAATGTGAAACGTTAGGAACTACAATTCGAAGAACTGTCACACAATCATCAAAAAAGATATACCTGCCCAGAAGAATCCTCGGAAAATTTGTTCAAATCTTTTCCCACGTAAGAACATCTTGAATCAAGTCACTTGTGAAACTGCTTCGAAATGTGTAGAGTAAGAGAAAAAATAGTGGCGTGATTGATTGCACTTCTTTCCTATTGTAGAACAATCACAGTTGTAACTATTTGGACGTTAAATAAACTCGTTACGTTAAATAACCGTTAAATAAAATGAAGCTGATTATTTTCAATGAATGTAAAAATTGTAAAATTATGTGAAAATATTAATAAATGATTATGTAATTATTAAATTATTATCATAAATTGGAATTAATTTTTGTTTATTGCCGAGGGATAGTAGTAATTAAAGATATTTGGGAACTCAAAAAGGTGGTTGATTTTGGGTAAAACAGTCTTTGGTTTACGGAAGATGGGAGATAATAAAAAGTCTTTTAAAAGTATAGCCTTCAAACGTTTTGTGAAAATGAAGAAAAATTGAATGAAGGAAATAATGTTATGGATCGAGTATTAAAATTTCAACTCTTCTTCGAAGCTGGAAGAATTCTCGGAGAATCCTAGTACGTCCCGCCAAGAGTAGAAGGCAGAGGTATGCCGTTGTGTTTCGCGCATTCCGCTTAATCCGGCCGAATCGATCGCGCCAGCGCGTGCGCGAGGAGCGGCTTCATCCCCGACACTCGGGAAAAAGTGGTCCA